CTTGCACTAGCAATTTCTGTTTTTTGGTCAGACAGATTTCAGAGCCAGACTTATATGTGGACAGCAAGAAAAGAGGAGTGCCAGCACTAGGCCTTGCATGGAAAAGGTCCAAATGTTGTCATCAGTGGAGGTGGAGGGAAATGGCAACTACACTGCCTTCTATGAAGAGCAGAGCAGAGATGCAAGCAGGCTTCTTTCTCCTCCCTCTGTAGGAAAGTGTTGGAGTGCTAATGAATCCATCAAAGATGGTTATGTGGATGACTATGAAGGGTTGAACTGGGCCCTCCTCATTGTGGCTTTCCAGACTGGCACTTTGGTAAATGCCCAGTTACCCAGCAGCCCATGCTAGCCCTCGTGTATGCTGGTATGATACACAGAGAGGCATATTGTGCTAAGGACAGTTTCTTTTTAGTAAAATAATAACAATGTTTAATAAATTATTAATTATTATTAATAATAATATAACCATTTTCACCTACAGATCTCAGATTTCTTCATAAAATAAATTATTCCCAGTTTACAGATGGGGAAAGGGAGACTCAAGAAAGTGCTATTTAGAAAATATAATACAGGCATTTGTCTGTATCAGCTTTATCAAGTACTCTTAATTGCACAGGAGAGGGGTATTTATCATCTCAAACCTTTCCCTGGGTCCCAGACTGACCCGCCTACTCCTTCCACTGTCCCACTCAATCTCCTCCCTTTTCCTCAGACCCATGAAGAAGCTGCCACATTGTCTGTATTCAAAGAGGGTGTCTTGGAGGCAGCAGAGCCCTTCTTTCATGCTGGATAAAAATGCATGCAAGTTTCAAAGCATTATTCTGGCTCTGTATATTTTACATTCTCCTAGGCTTAAAAAAAAATAAAGGATTTGTCAAAGCCTACTCATCAATTGTAACTAAAGTAAATATGTAATTATTTGTAACCAGGAAACTCTCCTGGTAGTCCACATGTAAAATAGTCTTGCGTGGGAAACAGTAAATATAGGTCAGAACAGATCAGCTCCTGGAAATTGTCCTCACCATCAGTGTTCCCTCTAAGTTGTATGGCAGCACAGCTTCACAGGTGATTAATCAGTCAGTCAGCTCTGTGCATGGAACCCTGAGCCTCTGACTGGGCAAGGCTGATTAATCACCTGTGATGTTGTGCTGCCACACAGCTTAGAGGGAATACCGCTCCGCACAATAGGTTTTCTCTTGTCAGTCAATGCAAAAACCATGAATGCTTTAAAAATATTGTTTTAAATAATCTCTCTCTCTTTCTCCACACATACACACAAACCCTCACATGTTAATGTGAGCTTATTAGGTTAACTGTAGGCACTTTTAGAAAAGCATTAATCCTATCTCAACTGAAATCTTTGATCAGACAGCTTCCTTATAGGAATTATAATTTATTCACCAAACTCAGTAATTTACTTCAAATGATTTGGCTATTGAAGATGAGACACTTTTGAAATTCATTTTCATTACTTTGTTTTGAAAGCCTGCTAACTGCCCAGAGCACCATTAAACGGTAGAAATGATAGCTAATGTACAGGAGAGGAATCATTGTGGGATTTCAGTAATGTGTAGTACTTTCACCTCTAATTCAAGAGAAAAATCTATTAACATCTGAATTAATGACTACCAGTAGTCTTGAAGATGATTACATATAGAATAGAATCCATTTCAGACGGTTTCTTTACAATTTTACTCTTAGTGTTTGAACAAAGAAGGAGGTGACATAAACTTAATTATTGAAATCACATTATACAGAAAGAGCAATTATGATGTGAAAAGCATTTTTCTCTTAGCAAAATAATAGCTATAAAGTTAGTATCTTAAGCAAGGGGTTTTGAATGGGTCCCATATGAAGAGAGATTAAAGAGACTTGGACTTTTCAGTTTAGAAAAGAGGGCACTGGGGGGATATGACAGAGGTCTATAAAATCATGACTGGTGTTGAAAAAATGAATAAGAAAAACTTATGTATTTGTTCCCATAATATAAGAACTAAGTCATCAAATGAAATTAATAGGTAGCAGGTTTAAAACAAACAAAAGGAAGTTTTTCTTCACTTCAGCGCACAATCAACCTGTGGAACTCCTTGCCAGAGTTGATGTTGTGAAGACTAGCACTTTAACAGGGTTCAAAAAAGAGCTAGATAAATTAATGAAAGTTAGGTCCATCAATGGCTATTAGCCAGGATGGGTAGGAATAGTGTTCCTAGCCTCTGTCTGGAATTGGATGACATGAGAGGGATCACATGATGATTATCTACTGTGTTCATTCCCTCTGAGGCATCTGGCATTGGCCACTGTTGGCAGACAAGATACTGAGTTAGACGGAGCTTTGGTCTGACCCAGTATGGCCGTTCTTATGTTCTTAAACAAGCCTCCTTCTAGAAACGATGATCCTTTGATATGACAGAGGCTATCATGTTATATTTTTGTGGCATAAATTATTTCACAGTATTTTTTTCATGTAAGCAATTTTCTCTACCTAGATTTTGATGCAGCTGTTTAAACCACTATTTGAAACTAGAACAAACTGAAATATGGATGAATTATCAGTAAGTATGAACTTCACCAACACTTATGACATTTTGGGCTCGTCTACATTGGCCCCTTTTCCGGAAGGGGCATGGTAATTTTTGAAATCGCAATAGGGAAATGCGCGGGGGATTTAAATATCCCCTGCGGCATTTAAATAAAAATGTCTGCCGCTTTTTTCCGGCTTTTAGAAAAGCCGGAAAAGAGCGTCTACACTGGCCCTAAATATCCCCCGCGGCATTTAAATAAAAATGTCCGCTGCTTTTTTCCGGCTTTTAAAAAAGCCGGAAAGGAGCGTCTACACTGGCCCCGATCCTCCAGAAAAAAAGCCCTTTTCCGGAGGATCTTATTCCTACTTCAAAGTAGCCTTTTTTCCGGAGGATCAGGGCCAGTGTAGACGCTCTTTTCCGGCTTTTCTAAAATCCGGAAAAAAGCGGCGGACATTTTTATTTAAATGCCACGGGGGATATTTAAATCCCCTGCGCATTTCCCTATTGCGATTTCAAAAATTACCATGCCCCTTCCGGAAAAGGGGCCAATGTAGACGTAGCCCATATGTTTGATTTGACCTGGGAAAAACAAAGGATATTTTTTAACTAAGAAAATTAAAGACTTTTATTAAGTGCTCCAAATAAAAACAACTAGGATACAAAACCACAGTCTAGATTGCTGTTTAATTTCAAATTAATGTGTAGATTCTGAAAAAGCTTGATTTTATGTTCATCTATTAACTGCCTGTTTTAGACTATGCAATTTTTAAATACTCTTAAACACAGACACTCTAACTTTTGATAAGTAAAGGGTATCTGTGGCCAGTGACAAATGTTGACAACATTTTAGATGTAATTACTTCAGTTAGAGCAGCTATTTACATTTTCTTGAAACAAATCAGCAATCACATTCCCAAACTCCTAAAATATTAAACACTCTCTTTTAGGATTTTTAAATGGCCTGGGGACTACTGATAAATCCAAGAAACATGTTTCTTCATGGTTAAAAAACCCAAAGCTTCTACGTATCATAGAAACCAGAGGACTTTTTTTTTTCATATGGTGACTGCCTAGAACGCTTAGCAAATAATGTGATTCTTTAAATGTAGTTTAGGTAGCACACTTCATCATAGAATCATAGGGTTGGAAGAGAACTCATAAGGTCATCAAGTCCAACCCCCTACCCAAAGCAGTACCAATCCCAACTAAATCATCCCTGTCAGGGCTTTGTCAAGCTGAGATTTAAAAACCTCTAGGACTTTAACCACTTAAATTTTTCAGATAGTTCATTTTGAATGAATGTGGCTTTCTATAATTGAAATTACTGGCCTAACGGCGGGCTTTAATCATGAGACTTGTTTTGACATATAAACGAGTCACTTTAATCTTTAGAAAAAAATCAAAATACTTACTGATAAGGAATGGTATACCTTTGTTTAAAGTCAACCCCACTTTTAGACTCAGCTTCATTGCTGACTTTTAAAAAATATATTTTAACTGAATTATTAGATGTTAGCCCCTTTAGAATTCTACTAATAAATTATTTTGGAGGCTTACTGGGTGCCCTATAAAACAACTATCTTCTTGACTGAAGTGTAATTTGAATTATTGATCTAAGGAATAGTTATTCATAAATTAATCTGTTTTTCTATACCTTTTCTGGTAAAGCCAAACAAAGTTCAGAACAGAATGATGTTTCATGCCTGGCCTTTTGTATTAAACAGATATCTGCCTTATCATTTTGGTTTAGGGACAGTGAAGTAGCTCCACAACTTGGTCTAGAATAATTTTTAGACAAAATTAATGTTTCACACATCGTAGAACTGATGTTCTTTTGAAATGTATGTGAACACAGACTACCAAATATGATGCTTCATGATGTGTCAATATAATTAAAGCTAGTAAATCATAGAAGGAGTGTATGAGTGTGTGTGTCAGAGAGTGAGTACTGCTGTTACAGAACAGTGACTTCAGAAAAACCCATTGTAATTATATGTATTTAAAAGTATGATAAATATTTGTAAACTGATTGTTTAACTTGGAGAATGAAGCATATGTTTGTATAACACATGTGTACATCTTTGTCGCCACACTGACACTACATTCTGAAGATGAAATCTTGATGTGAATGAAGAAAAAATTTCTTTACTTCAGTGGGGCCAAGATGTCACTCTAGTTCTTCAGATTTCCAATCGAATAAAAATATAACATTATTTTTTCTGACTATAGCAATTACTTTATTTCAATCCCTCTGTAGTTTTGGTGCTGAAAATTTTACTATAAAATCATACCACAGATTCATCATCTTGTCATAACAGATGAAAACAAAAAAGTTAGGTCACTTAATATACATTTTCAACAGTCTTCCAAAACCTCACATTCCCTGGTGTATAATTTATCACAAGGATATGATCAATACAATTTATTATCAATGGCGATTCATTATAATGACAGACAAATGAGCAATTCGTACAGTACCTAATGCTGCTCATACTTCCAGTCTCTGATCCAAGTTTACATCTCTCCAGTTGGCTGGCTACAATCTGGCGTTCAGCCTCAAGTTCTCGAGTAAGTCTCTCAAACTGCAGCTCCTAAAACACAAATACAAACATTCACTCAATAATCTTTGCAAGAATCAGAAAGAATTTCAATGCATGTGTCAAAATATGGCTTGTGAAGTAAGTGTTGCAATGACAGCTTCTATGAAAAACTCCTCCCCAACTTCGTTTTAACACATTCACAGTCCAAATGAATATGGTAACACATGCTGGTTCACTCATAGCTCTGATCACGTGCATTATAAATGGAGCTAATTTATTTAGGGTGAAATTTTCAAATGAGCCAAAGTGACAGACTCGCATCAAAATTCCATCCTTAGTACATATGTTTTTCTTAATCGTGGTGTAATAGGTTTCAACTAAGCTGAAATTAGAATGCTAATAAAGGAGCGATTTTGTATATTTATTAAGACTTAGCTAAAGGATCTGTGGAGAAAAAAAATGATGAAGTATTTTGTACTCAGCTAAATATTCAGCATGCAACATAATGAAGTAGAGAAAAATAAACTATAAGTTGAATGTGAGTATGTTTTTATTGGTCACATATAGTACTGTCAGCATCTTGGTGTTGTGTTGGAGGTGAGCTCTTGTGGTTTCAGAGCAGTCCCTTGTTAAAATCCGGTCAATAACCCATGGTAGGGTTAGGGTGATTTCCCTGATTCTCTGTATATTACCAAACAAGTCCTGCCAGAAACAACTTAGCCATTGAACTCATAAAATATTTTTGTAATTTTCTTCTTATATGCACCAGAATGCACCAAATGTAGGCCACCCTACCTACCCAAACCCCACAGATACCCTGATAAAAAACAGCCACATTACAACCAAGGTGAGTATAAAATGAACACCCACTGCAAGACCTTCAGTTCTCCATGGGGTATCTGAACAAAGAATACTGAGTATATCTTTCAAGAACAAAGTATATTTGAGCTAAGTCATTTCTTAGAAGTTTGTCAAGTGATGCTGTCTTTTCTCCTCAGTTATAGTTATGAAAAAGTTAGTATAAGTGGCTGGCCTTCTAATGGGAGCTAGGCCCAACGTCACTTGTGACATATATCTCCCTCCCAGCTGAGACCGATCATCTGGGGTTCAGGTGATTATAAAACCCAGCAAGTGGCTCAGTAGGCTAGTGAGTTGCCAGAAAGGCCCTGGACAATGGACAGGGAGTCAGGGAGGAGAAGAGTCAGAGAGCTGAGGTAGAAAACATTGTGGGAGTCCCTTGTTAAAATACAACACATCGCTAGTGTTGAATCTGTGTCTCACTCACACATACACACACTGAAGTAGAAAGCCATTCAGTACTGTTGCACAACATGTAGTCTATGCAATGACTATTCAGTCACTTGCATTTAATTTACCACCATATCCCACCACATTACACTTAATATACAAGACAAAACTACATCATGTTTTAGTCACTCTACTGGATGACTCAATGAAAACACTGCACCAATATTAACACAGAGCTCCACTTTCTCTAATTTTCATATTGGTAACTAATGTTTCATAATTGGTAACTCCCCCAACCAACACGGTCTAGCTGAACAGATCACTGAACTCCTGCAGAAAAGATCCCTTTCTCTGCCTTATTCTCCAGTAACCTCCTGTGAATTGTTAAAGGAGTGATGTTGATGGACCATAGAAATATCCTTGCCTCCAATCTATTAAATAATTGCAGAACTGAGCATTTGAAAGGGAGAAGGAAGTAGATTCAGAAGTTTCACCTCCCCCCCACCACATTGCCTAGCCCTATATTTTCTTAATTTGTTTCCCGAACAGAAAGCTTAAATACTTGACTGTCCAGTTCAAAACCGGACACCTGTCAACCCTATTCCTAGGTGGTCAAATGATAAGGCCAGTTCTTAGCTTATGCAATTTGGTCTCTCCTCCCCCCATTTATATTTGGTAATATAGTTGGAGAATAATGTAAAGCTGCACATAAAATGAAGCACGATCCCAGCACAAGGCAAGAATGGCAGGACGCAGCCCAAGGGTACTTAATATAGCCACTGGCATTTGACAGAGGGCACTTTAAGTATTTGCCATTCAATTGTTATTGCAAATAAAATGTTCTTGAATATAAATACCACCAAAATAACCAGATTGTGTAACCAAACTGATCATGTGTTGCATCACTACCCACATTATCTGTTTAAATTCCATAAGCAATAAAGTATGAACACTTACAATGACCAAGGACAATATAATTTAGTTTGGTTCTACAGGTTGAACCAGAACCCCCTGCCCTGAGACTCTTATACCCCGACATCTTCAAACTCCTGCACCCTCCTCCATACCCAATCCCCTGCAATTACACTCCTGTACCCACCACCCACCCCAGACCTGTGCCCTGAGCCTATCATACACTTAACCCCCCTGCCCTGAGCCCCTCATACAGCCCAACCCAAACTCCTGCACCCCCACATCCCTAGCCCCCTGCCATAAGATTGACAGAAGACAGCTTGAATGCTTGCATTAAGATGGATTTGACCAGTTATGATGTAAACTTCAAAGAAATGTGCAAAAAGAAGCAGCAGCAGAAGAACCATTAAATAAAGTCGATGAGTACAATGTTTCATTTATGTTATTATTAATCATTCCATTCATCAATAAATGTAAGTTGTATATTTTCAGTCATACAAAGGGGCATTCTTATATGGCTCTTTGTTGACCACCTGTTCTGAATTTTGATGTAGTTTGGCCCTTTAGTTTGAAAAGGTTGCTGATCCCTGCCCTAGAAGTTGCTGCATCTTAGTGGTAGAGGAAGTATTTTTTGAGTTACATATACAATTTTTAAAACATCTTGGGTCTTTAGTGGAATTATGCTAGGGATGAATTGCAACACTTAGTCTAAAAATTAAAATTAAAATTAACTTCATGTTTATGTAATTTCTGCTTAAGTCAATGGGATATGTATGTCCCTATCTAAGGACAGAATTTAGTCCTATGATACTAAGCTGTTTATTTTAAATATGGAGGTGTTATTGTGTTTATGTGTGTTTACATTTTCCTCTTATTTTATTATGCTTTTTCATAGATGTCTACTCCATATGCAATATTTATTTGCTTGCCTATTAGAATAATTTATCCAAGAAGCTGAAAAGACTGTTGATCAAATTTACAAGATTACATGCATCCTCACTAGCCATGAGTACTATATTATTACTACAGAATTAGAGATTTAATGCAATTTTTACTTACATGTTTGAGTAAAATCACAGTAATGTAACAGAGAACTTTTTCTACTTGCTACTGTACTTGCATAGTGAATGAGAGCACTTCAAATAATGAGATATTTTGAATTAAGCTTTTTACATTATATTACAGTAATAAAACCAACACATAGTCCTGTGACTCCTTAGAGACTAACAAATATATAGTATGAGCATTCATAGACAAAACCCACTTCTTCAGAAGAGATGAGCTTGAGTGCAGAAAAAAAGTAATATTACAGTAATATTTATTTTTCCAAACAAAAACAAATTACACAATAGATACTGCTTAGTAACTGGGATATGGATATTCAATCTATAATCTAGGAGTAGTCTTGTATTCCTCACTGATGCTGAGCTCTCACATAGCAGCATCCACAAGTAAGGCTTTCTACCATCTACTAAACTAGGAAGCTCGGTCACCATCTGGAAGGTGGAACACATGGCCTTAGTTATTCATGCTTTTGATACCTTTTATTAGGGTTACAGCAGTGTAATATACTGGAGCATGACGCTTTCAGCACTTAGTGTATGCTAATTAGCACATAATGCTACAGCACATCTCCTCTGCAATACAGAATACTGTAAGCACATGGAACCTGTCCTCCAGTCTTTCCACTAGCTTCCAACAGAATATCAAATCAAGTTAAGATCTCAGTATTTACTTCAAACAACTCCATGACCTGGGACTAAGCCAGAAGATCAACAACTCTTCTCCTTTGGCACAAAGGAATTCTTAACAAGTCCTCAATCTGTGTGGAAGAGAGAACTTTCTTCTGGTGTAGTCTGAGTTTACGAAATAACCTCCCCCAGGAACAAAGATCCACCACAAACATCACCACATTCTGCTCCAAGAACAAAGTGCATTTTTAGACTACCCTTTCTAAGAACATAAGAATGGACTTACTGGGTCAGACCAACAGTCCATCTAGCCCAGTATCCTGTCTGCCAACAGTGGCCAATACCAGATGCCCCAGAGAGAGGGATCACAACAGATAACCCTCACGTGATCCCTCCCCTGTCTCACACTTGCAGAGAAACAGAGGCTAGGGATACCATTCCTACCCATCTTGGCTAATAGCCACTGATGGACCTAACCTCCATGAATTTATCTAGCTCTTTTTTGAACCCTGTTATGCTAATATAAACATAAAATAAACATATACGAATAAAGACACTACCAACATAACTTTGGGGAGAGAATAAGAGAAAAAATAACATGTGACATGTGCAGTTCAATGCATTGCTGGAAAGCACTCAGCTAGTACAATGATGAACGTGAGGCTCAAACTCTTACAAAACAGAGCACATAGAATACAATATCCTCTTCACTTCTATGCTGTCCATAGACTCACACGCCCAGTATATAAAAATCCATCTTGTATGTAATTTACTGTGATATTTTAGCAACCAAACTTTATAGTGAGGGCTTATCTAGACTACGCGGAACAGTCGAAAGACGATATGCAAATTCAATGGGAATTTGCATATCTTCTTCTGATCGCAGAGATTTTGAAAGTGAAAGTAGTTTAGATGTGGCTTTTTTTGGCAACCCCCCCTTTTGTCGAAAAGCCACGTAAACCTCATTTTTTGAGGAAGGGCAGCTTTTTGACGAAGGGGGAAGGGGCTCGCTGAAAAAGCTGTGTCTAAAATTATTTTCACTTTCAAAAGCTCTGCTTTCGAAAGTGCTATTGGAAGAAGATATGCAAATACCCACAGAATTTGCATATCCTCTTTTGACTGTTCTGCAAAGTGACTCCCAGGGCTTCCCTTAGTATTTATGGGGCCCTATGCAGTATTATTAAACTGGTGCCCCTATCC